AAGCAGCCCTTACCCTTGGCGTTCAAGCAGGAGCCCAGGCCAGCAGAGCTTTTTTTCTTCTTCTCCTTGTTAAAAACTCAAGCAGGGCAGAATAGGGACCATTACTTTTCAATGGTAATTCATTCCTTAGTCCAGTGCTTCAATTGTACCCAGATACTACTCTCCTCATCTCAAAGCTCCCCTTCATCTTTTTAAAGGCCAGAATGAGAGAAAAAGGAAACAAACGTATTTGTTGCAAAACCGGGGTATCTTTCGACGGAATCACGGGTTCTTGGACAGTTCGGTTCCATTTTATACCCACTGTGTTCATTTCTAAATAAACATCTAAATACATGTAATATTATCCTGGGAAAAACCACAGCTTCCATACCCTTCTAAAAAAAAATCAGGCAGGATAATGCCCCTAACCTTAAAATGAATTCCATTCCATTACATCTTCCATGCAACATGACTGGAGAACAAGAATGTTATAGAATCAACTCTAGAGACATTTTTCTTTCTTTTTCAGGTCAAGTGTTGATTGGTGCACATCACAAATGAACACATCATTAGTTGACTTTGATTGGCCAATTAGTCAGATTGCCTTATTTTATGATCATGGAAGTGTGTTCTTTATCACCACTCTGTTATACATAAGTAGGTATTTTATTCTGTTGTAGGGGATGCTACTTCACCCACACAATCATTCAAACATGAGGTTTAATAGTTATTTTTGTGTACATTTTCCGAATTAGAGTGAAAAACGTTTTATGCAAATGAATAGTTTTTCATTAAATATTTATTTGCATTAGCCTATATGAAAGCACATATAGCTCCCTCCAAAGCAAGTATGCTAAACACTGTCTTGCAGAGGCAAAACCTTAAAATGGTCATGCTGTCTGTGGTCTGATGTTATTGTTTGCCTATGGGTAGGCTATGCACACACTTTCCTCTCTTTAACCATACACCTGCTTGTTTGTGTTTTGGGAGAGAGTCAGCCATCCCTCAATTATGCTTATATCTGTGATACCTGTCTTTTTATTTTATTTGGGAACATCTTAGCTAAATTAGATTTTCAAATAGGTGCTATTATTATAATGTAATGGAATCTCATTTAGGGCAACCTGAATGCTAATGGTGTGGCCTCATTGTGAAGCGGTCTCTAGACGGCTGCAGTTCGTGAACCTGCTGCTATCAATCACATGTTCTGGTCTAAATACAAGTCCTACTGCAGGCCCTATTCACTTGTCTTCGTGTATTTGCACAAGTGCATAATTTACCTCTAGTTTACCCTGCATTAGGGTCCACAATGAACATGGTGTCTCTAAAGAGGATCTAATTCTAAAGATCCATGGCAACTATTGAGCAGATTGAGGAAACGGTTTTGCTGCAGGTTTAAAACAGTGTTAAAGAAGAACAAATATACAGCAATACTTCACCGTGATGTAGAACCTGACCTCATCAGCAGAGTAAACACCACCGTATGGCCACAGGCCCCTGGAAGAAGGGACGTGGTCCCCAGAGCTGTTGGCAACACCACCTCTATGTGCTGTACACCCAGGAGACGACTTTCTATTATATAACAGCAGTTTATTATGGTGGGATTCTGCGTTGAATGGTGTGTTATCACCCTTTAACATGTCTTCATAGGATTCATCTGAACAATAATACTGATCATGGTTATGATATAGTAATAACACTATAGTAATAAATTTTTTGGAGTTTCAACCCTTTAAGTTACATTCAACCGTTCCCCTGTATGTTGACACCGGTTGAATATATCCCTGTATGTTTCTATACCAGAACTCTTGGTGGTAGCCAGTCTACTAACCTGAACTGGACTTCTCTGATAAAAGTTATGTTCCAGAGATGGCATCACTTGTGGCGTCTCGACTGAGCCGTATGGTTTGGAGTGCAATAACTTGAAGCCGGTGCCAACAATGGAGTAATTGAGAAGGGGAAAGGGTCTGAGCTTGACTCGACAAAGCTGAAAAAAAAAAAAAAAAAAAAAAAAAATACTCCCTCTTTCACTCTAATGAAGCTGTTGTCTGCCGAGTCTGTGTGGGGCTGGGGGCTGGGGGGACGTGATTTGTCATACAATCTGAAACTTTAGGAGGGCCGGAGAAAGACCTCCTCTCCATATGTCTGCTTATTTAGCATCTGAAAGCTACTGGTTAAGAGAGTGGGGGAGAGAAGAGAACGGCAGTGACTTAACATTATGCAGAAGAGGCAATTGCCTCAGGCCTCACATCACCAAGGGGCCTCGTGAGCTGGGCATAATAAAAATAATAATACTAGTAATCATTTTTATTCACACCCCCCCCCCCCCCCCCTCCCCCCGAAGCAGCAATGAGGTGCTTTTAGAGCGGGCAGAGAAAATAAAAATGATTTAATGTGAACAGAAAAATTACTTAAATTAAAGTATTTCTTTAGACAGGTGCTGCTGATAATACTGCCATCACCGTGGAGACAGAGGACATGTACAGTTGAAGACTGAAGTTTACATACACCTTAGCCAAATACATTTAAACTCAGTTTTTCACAATTCCTGACATTTAATCCTTGTAAATATTCCGTTTTATGTCAGTTAGGATCACCACTTTATTTTATAAATGTGAAATATCAGAATAATAGTAGAGAGAATTATTTCTTTCAGCTTTTATTTCTTTCATCACATTCCCAGTGGGTCAGAAGTTTACATACACTCAATTAGTATTTGGTAGCATTGCCTTTAAATTGTTTAACTTGGGTCAAACGTTACGGGGAGCCTTCCACAAGCTTCCCACAATAAGTTGGGTGAATTTTGGCCCATTCCTCCTGACAGAGCTGGTGTAACTGACTCAGGTTTGTAGGCCTCCTTGCTCGCACACGTTTTTTCAGTTCTGCCCACAAATGTTCTATAGGATTGAAGTCAGGGCTTCATGATGGCCACTCCAATACCTTGACTTTGTTGTCCTTAAGCCATTTTGCCACAACTTTGGAAGTATGCTTGGGGTCATTGTCCATTTGGAAGACCCATTTGCGACCAAGCTTTAACTTCCCGACTGATGTCTTGAGATGTTGCTTCAATATATCCACATAATTTTCCTTCCTCATGATGCCATCTATTTTGTGAAGTGCACCAGTCCCTCCTGCAGAAAAGCACCCCCACAGCATGATGCTGCCACCCCCGTGTTCTTCGGCTTGCAAGCATTCCCCTTTTCCCTCCAAACATAAAGATGGTCATTATGGCCAAACAGTTCTATTGTTGTTTCATCAGACCAGAGGACATTTCTCCAAAAAATATGCTCTTTGTCCCCACGTGCAGTTGCAAACCGTAGTCTGGCTTTTTTATGGCGGTTTTGGAGCAGTGGCTTCTTCCTTGCTGAGCGGCCTTTCAGGTTATGTCGATATAGGACTCGTTTTACTGTGGATATACAGTGGGGAAAAAAAGTATTTAGTCAGCCACCAATTGTGCAAGTTCTCCCACTTAAAAAAATGAGAGAGGCCTGTAATTTTCATCATAGGTACACGTCAACTATGACAGACAAATTGAGAAAACAAATTCCAGAAAATCCCATTGTAGGATTTTTAATGAATTTATTTGCAAATTATGGTGGAAAATAAGTATTTGGTCACCTCCAAACAAGCAAGATTTCTGGCTCTCACAGACCTGTAACAACTTCTTTAAGAGGCTCTTCTGTCCTCCACTTGTTACCTGTATTAATGGCACCTGTTTGAACTTGTTATCAGTATAAAAGACACCTGTCCACAACCTCAAACAGTCACACTCCAAACTCCACTATGGCCAAGACCAAAGAGCTGTCAAAGGACACCAGAAACAAAATTGTAGACCTGCACCAGGCTGGGAAGACTGAATCTGCAATAGGTAAGCAGCTTGGTTTGAAGAAATCAACTGTGGGAGCAAATATTAGGAAATGGAAGACATACAAGACCACTGATAATCTCCCTCGATCTGGGGCTCCATGCAAGATCTCACCCCGTGGGGTCAAAATGATCACAAGAACGGTGAGCAAAAATCCCAGAACCACACGGGGGGACCTAGTGAATGACCTGCAGAGAGCTGGGACCAAAGTAACAAAGCCTACCATCAGTAACACACTACGCCGCCAGGGACTCAAATCATGCAGTGCCAGACGTGTCCCCCTGCTTAAGCCAGTACATGTCCAGGCCCGTCTGAAGTTTGCTAGAGTGCATTTGGATGATCCAGAAGAGGATTGGGAGAATGTCATATGAAACCAAAATAGAACTTTTTGGTAAAAACTCAACTCGTCGTGTTTGGAGGACAAAGAATGCTGAGTTGCATCCAAAGAACACCATACCTACTGTGAAGCATGGGGGTGGAAACATCATGCTTTGGGGCTGTTTTTCTGCAAAGGGACCAGGACGACTGATTAGTGTAAAGGAAAGAATGAATGGGGCCATGTATCGTGAGATTTTGAGTGAAAACCTCCTTCCATCAGCAAGGGCATTGAAGATGAAACGTGGCTGGGTCTTTCAGCATGACAATGATCCCAAACACACCGCCCGGGCAACGAAGGAGTGGCTTCGTAAGAAGCATTTCAAGGTCCTGGAGTGGCCTAGCCAGTCTCCAGATCTCAACCCCATAGAAAATCTTTGGAGGGAGTTGAAAGTCTGTGTTGCCCAGCGACAGCCCCAAAACTTCACTGCTCTAGAGGAGATCTGCATGGAGGAATGGGCCAAAATACCAGCAACAGTGTATGAAAACCTTGTGAAGACATACAGAAAACATTTGACCTGTGTCATTGCCAACAAAGGGTATATAACAAAGTATTGAGAAACTTTTGTTATTGACCAAATACTTATTTTCCACCATAATTTGCAAATAAATTCATAAAAAATCCTACAATGTGATTTTCTGGATTTTTTTTCTCATTTTGTCTGTCATAGTTGACGTGTACCTATGATGAAATTTACAGGCCTCTCTCATCTTTTTAAGTGGGAGAACTTGCACAATTGGTGGCTGACTAAATACTTTTTTGCCCCACTGTAGATACTTTTGTACCTGTTTCCTCCAGCATCTTCACAAGGTCCTTTGCTGTTGTTCTGGGATTGATTTGCACTTTTCGCACCAAAGTACGTTTACCTCTAGGATACAGAATGCGTCTCCTTCCTGAGCGGTATGATGGCTGCGTGGTCCCATGGTGTTTATACTTGCGTATTATTGTTTGTACAGATGAACGTGGTACCTTCAGGCGTTTGGAAATTGCTCCCAAGGATGAACGAGACTTGTGGTCTACAATTTTTTTTCTGAGGTCTTGGCTGATTTCTTTTGATTTTCCCATGATGTCAAGAAAAGAGGCACTGAGTTTGAATGTAGGCCTTGAAATACATCCACAGGTACACCTCCAATTGACTCAAATAATGTCAATTAGCCTATCAGAAGCTTCTAAAGCCATGACATCATTTTCTGGAATTTTCCAAGCTGTTTAAAGGCACAGTCAACTTAGTGTATGTAAACTTCTGACCCACTGGAATTGTGATACAGTGAATTATAAGTTAAATAATCTCTCTGTAAACAATTGTTGGGAAAATTACTTGTGTCATGCACAAAGTAGATGTCCTAACCGACTTTGTTATAAGAAATTTGTGGAGTGGTTGAAAAAACGAGTTTTAATGACTCCAATCTAAGTGTATGTAAACTTCCGACTTCCAACTGTATGTCCTGATGCTGTCTGGCCAAAAAGAGTACGGCATGTCGTCAGATACATAGGCTACAAATAGTAAGACCGACGGGCGCTCTCTCGGATGCTTTCTCTGGTGAGATACATTTGCAAGTGGCTGAAACTAAGGAAAGTTGGCAGGTGCACAGTGCAACTGTTCAGATGATGGAATTACTTTGGATGAACGTCCAAAGAACCTACTTTTTGAACTGTTTTGTTTGACAATAAGATGAAAACATGACTGGTTGTGTTTTGTTTTTTTTTACAGTTAAATTGCATGTCTTTACTATACAACCCATAACAAAATGTTGTGCACATAGGAGGGGGGGGGGGGGGGGGGGGGGGGGGGGGTTCTCTGACTGGCCTCTGCCTGGGGCCTCCAAATCACTAAGTCCGCCCCTGGAGAAGCGGAGAGTGGGGGAGAGAAGGGGAAAGTGGTATAAGCTTTGGCATCAGGGAGGGATGCAGTTTTTTTGTTTGCATCGATTGATTCGAGCTGGAACAATTCTAAACTGGTGTCAGAGATGGAAGTTGGAAATAAAATATTTTAAAGCACTAGAAAATGACATTTGGCAACAAGTAATAACGTGTAACGTTCATTAGTTATTCTTTAAACCACAATCATTGACCGTGAGGAGGAGAACTGATAAGGAAAACCTTCTGCACTACCTGGTTTAGTTATTTGTTGAACATCTTTCTAAATATAGATCTGTCTCAGGTTTGAAAATGCTTCTCATTTCAGAGGTCAGTAGAAACAGAATTCATCCTCCCTTGAAAAGGCTTCTCATTTCAGAGGTCAGTAGAAACAGAATCCATCCTCCCTTGAAAAGGCTTCTCATTTCAGAGGTCAGTAGAAACAGAATCCATCCTCCCTTGAAAAGGCTTCTCATTTATTTCAGAGGTCAGTAGAAACAGAATCCATCCTCCCTTGAAAAGGCTTCTCATTTCAGAGGTCAGTAGAAACAAACTGACAATGTACAGATGACAAAAGGCACTTGTTTACTAATCTCCTATTCTACTGACCTGGAATCCTTTCTCATTTGTTTCTCTTTAATCTAGACCCCATGCTAGATTAAAGCAATCCACTAAAACAAGGCTGACTTTAAAAAAGGAATGTGATTGGACAAAGAGAATATACAGAGAATGGTGATTCTTTATCATGAGGAGTCACCATCAAGGCAGTAAGAAGACAGAAGACCACCAGGTAATGAAAGAACTGTGACTAAACGTTTAAACCTAATTTGCTCAGACACTAGCGCTGTGTTACTTCACACTCTACTTGCATTTACAAATAATGTAAAATGATCATCAAAATTCTCAATCCTTAAATAGTGGAAAATCAAGAAATTGGACATATCATAAAACAAAAAAAAAATCATATTTAATATAGTCCTTCATGTAGCAACAACAATGTAAAACACTGCATAATGGATATTGAAATGGAATAAGCATACAGAACAATGTGCACTATTTACAGTAAGTTGGGAATAAAACTAATGGAGGACAATGCAAGCAAATGCATTATAACACACTATAGACACATGGCAAAGGCAGTCAAATTGGAATATCTTATTGTCTATTTAGATTTATGACAAAGGAGGATATCTTGAATATGGCATATTCATGAAAAAGCAATAGACTTGGAAGTTCAAACGTGAATTCAGAATGTTCGGATGTAGTGCCACTAATAATCATTATATTTGGCTGTATTCGCATCATACAGTGGTTGTGCATGGGTGAATTAAACTAAGAATCCATTTATCTAAAGGATAGTGTGCATACTGCCACCTTCTGGCCAGATAGTGTAGCAACGCTCAGGATTATCTGTGGACATCTAGAAGATAGTGTGTGCATACTGCCACCTTCTGGCCAGATAGTGGAGCTTCTAGTAGCAAAGCTCTCCTTTTCTTACTTTCACAGCTTTTACCAAAAAAAGTTGATAAAATATTCTTTACAAATAAATTAATACACACAGACTGTAACACATTTATATTTAAAATCCAGTTGTTTAAGACTAAATAAAATGTGTTTAATGCCTAATGCATTACCACCAACAATGCCTGATGAGAGATCCATTTCTCTTCTCCCTCAGTGGTTTAGTAAACTATTCAAAAACAAGTACAAAAAGGTATCCCATAGCTAATAGCTAAAGCAATTAGCAAGGTTGTTATAAGCCAAGAAGCATCCTTCAATATAAAATGGATATGTACATCACAGTGATAGCAGAACAGTAAGCAGTTTGTAGGATAAAACATAAGTAAATCGTTATTTATATCTGATCATGTATTTTTGACACATAGGTTGTGTCCATACTCCCATGTTATTGCAGTCTTCTGTCTGTCTGGGCTCAGTTTACGTGTGCACACATCTCTTCCTCTCCTCAGATAACATCCTCTTCATCTCTTCCTCTCCTCATATGATCACTAACTGTAAGTCGCTCTGGATAAGAGCGTCTGCTAAATGACTAAAAATATTGTTGTTTTTTAAATGATGTTCTCGCCACCTTTTCCTTTCCTCAGATGACGTTCTTCTCTCCTGGCGGTTTCTCCTCATTCTCTGTCTTCTTGGTGAAGACGGAGGACAGTTCCTGGAGGAGCAGTTCCTGAGAGGGGGTACAGGGCCTGTGCTGCTGCCTCCTCCTCGGCACTGGCTGGGGAGACTCCTGGAGGTCCCCTCCTCCACCCAGGACCAGGGTATCCAGATAACCAGCAGGGGGCAGCAGACCCTCTCCTCCCAACCGCAGCGAGTGCACCGGATTGGGGCCAATCATGCGGTCCAGGGAGCCTGTCTTCCGGTGGCCCAGGCTGAGGCTCAGGGACCGGTCAGGGACCTCTTGGGTCACTGAGGTGTTGTTGGAGAGGAAGCTGGTCTCCAGGGACTTGAGGACCTGCAGGCCGAAGTCTCCTACCTCCTCATAGAGGGGCTCTGGGGGTTCTGGGGGCTCTGGGGGTTCTGGACACTCCTCGAACGAGTCCTGCTGCACCTTCATGGGCTGGGTGGAGGGGAGGGGGGAGAGCAGAAGAGAGGAGAAGGGAGAACGGATTTCGAATTTGAACCCAACCCAGAGTTATTTGTGTGTTTGATTATACACTATGTAAAGCTCTGGAAGGTCTGAGGCAAAAGCAGAATTAGAACTATTATAATAATTAGGGGGTTGAGATGTAGCTATCTGTTAGGGATTATCTGATTTTAAGTAGGTATTAAAAGGAGATGATCTGCCATTACAGTGACAAAGAAACATGTGGTTAATTTAAAATGGGACAAACATGGAAGGGAGTTGCCCTTCTTTGACCACAACTTTAAAAACAACAGACTTCCTCTTATTAAGGTCTGGCCATTGTTCTAGCACCTCAGCAACAACCTCAAGATAATTACTCCACACACAGAGGGACGAAATAAAAACTTGATGATCAAGCCAAAGGGCGGCTATTTCAAGAATCTCAAATATAAAATATATTTTGATTTGTTTAACACTTTTTTGGTTACTACATGATTCCATATGTGTTATTTCATAGTTTTGATGTCTTCACTATTATCCTACAATGTAAAAAATAGTAAAAATAAAGAAAAACCCTTGAATGAGTAGGTGTGTCCAAACTTTTGACTGGTAGTGTATATATTTTACTTTTTAGTCATTTAGCAGAGCTCTTATCCAGAGCGACTTACAGTAGTGAGTGCATACATTTTCATACCGGTCCCCCGTGGGAATCAAACCCACAACCCTGGTGTTGCAAGCGGCATGCTCTACCAACCGAGCCACACAAAATGAAGGTAAGTATGAATATTCTAAACGGCATGCAACATTGAAATGACAGAGCACCAGGGTGTGCATACTTACAAAGAACATAGAGAGAGTCCTTCTGGCATGAAGCTTTCGCTGTAGAGAAAGACACCAGTACACCCTGTGAGATACAGACACACAGAGACAGTTTCCCTGACCCAGATTAAGCCTATTGCTGGACTCAAAAATGATGCTTTGACTTGCTTTTCAGTCCAGAACTAGTCTTAATCTGGTCAGGGAAACTGGCCCATAGTGAATACTGTTCAGTATAGGGATAGCATTTGGAATACTAAATATACTAGACACCAAAGGGTTACAGAAAGGGGAGACAGAAAGGAATGATCTTGATACAAAAACAAAAACAAGCTTTGTGTGAAGTAAACAACTTGGGCTAATGGAGTCTTCTCAAAGTTCAGAACGTCAACAACAACCCAAATGTGCGGTACTGATGTGACTAAAGGCTCCCCATACCAGGTTCAGTTAGCTAAAGACTCCCCATACTAGGTTCAGTTAGCTAAAGGCTCCCCATAACCAGGTTCAGTTAGCTAAAGGCTCCCATACAGGTTTCAGTTAGCTAAAGGCTCCCCATACTAGGTTCAGTTAGCTAAAGGCTCCCCATACTAGGTTCAGTTAGCTAAAGGCTCCCCATACTAGGTTCAGTTAGCTAAAGGCTCCCCATACTAGGTTCAGTTAGCTAAAGGCTCCCCATACTAGGTTCAGTTAGCTAAAGGCTCCCCATACTAGGTTCGGTTTGCTCCTAGCAGAACCCGGCTAGGCGAAGCAAACGTCTGAACCTTGCATACTCCCTTAAAAGACGTTCGCTTAAAAAAATGAGGAAAAAGCGGCAATATTACTGTTTGTCCCTCTTGAGATGCCGTAGCAAAAAAATAGCCAGTATACACTTCGTCAAAATAGTTTTGATGTTTTTACCAATTTTACATCTAACTAAGATGTTTGGTGTGCATGAAATGTGCATGAAAACTAGTCGTCTCTCGTTGAATGACAACACATCATTGGAGAATCCCATCCATAGTTCCCACTCCTACTAGGAGTAGTACTGTTGACCAATCACAGACAAAGGGGCGTAGACTTTTCGGCTACCAAAACGAACAAAAACCCCAAAAATGTCATGATAATATATGCACAAACTATTTTGACTGGGAAGCATGCGACAGGCTTAAAAGTATAGGGTGGGTAGAGGGTGTGGGTGGTTGTCTCCTGCAGAACCATACCAGAGTCTGATTGGCTGACAGCATGGTAGAGTTGGAACGTACCAGAGTCTGATTGGCTGATAGCATGGTAGAGTTGGAACGTACCAGAGTCTGATTGGCTGACAGCATGGTAGAGTTGCTCTCGTGTCCGTCCCCTCTGATTGGAACTAGGGGCATGGTCCCAAACTTCTGTTTGTAGATGTCTGAGGAGGAGTGACGCCTCAACACCGGAGGTCGGGGGTCATCATTCTGTTAGAAGGAATCAAGTGAATAGAAATTAATCAAAATGGAATCGAATGGATAGAATTAAACAGACAGAAGTAAAAATCTAAAGCGTAGATATTACACCCAAAAATGAGGGGGGAAAGCAAACTCAAAGTAATGTAAAAGTGATGCAACACTTGGGGGGGAACTATGCTCCACAACATACCTGTGCTTTGAGGAAATTGGTGACCCAGTCCCATAGGTCAGACTCACAAAAGCAACAAAGGTACCTGGGAGACACAAAAACACAAAGCAGTGATTAGCTCTTAAAGGGGAGGGGAAGGAGATCTGATTTAAAGGGGAGGGGAGCGGCAGATCTAAAACAAGACATTCCAACCTCCCTCCAAAACAATGTAGTCCACTTACATAACATCATAACATCCGATGTCGTGCCAAACCATTCGATATACAGAGAACAATGAGGAATTTCAAATACTTGAGAAAACATGATGTATGTGCTATAAACATATATGTTTCAATCTTATCCAATAGAAGTTGATTTCCAGACATCCTTTGCAATGACCAGAATAATGTGTAGCAAGATTGTGGTATTTCCTTTCATTGCCAGACAAGATTTTGAAGTGAACACGTACAGCTGATGTTTCTCCATCATGAGAGTCAAGCCCCATCTAGTGGGCGGTTTCAGCTTCTTTCGAATTCCCACGTAGATCTTCATAGACTTCAGAGCCCATTCCTTTTCAGGCTTGATGCTCTGAAATGACAAGACATTTTGTACAGTAAGAAAATATGTATCGGACACACAAATAAACGGACAATCACAGCTCCACCTGCGATAACTACACTGGCCCAAATTAGCGCAAAGTTCCAACTTCAAGGTGTGACCGTGATGCGAGAGCAGAAATACCTTTTTGTCCTTCAGCAGCAGCAGTCTGTGGTCTTTGATCTGAAAGGTGTGTTCCTGAAAGCCTTTTCCGTGGAGGAGTTTGGGGGGCTCTTCACGACACTTCAGAACTCCCATCTTCATTATCTCACTCTCGTAGGCTGTGAATAAAAAACATCATCATTGCAATCATACTGTGTATAACAATGACAGTCTCCAAATAAACTAAATATTGTCACGTTTGAACGTAAGAGCAACAAGAAATTGGGCTGATTGCAATCGATGATCAAAAAATCAAAGAGGGTCGTTTGATTGTGATTGTTTGGGATTGATAGGCCAAGCTAATGATTGTGATTGTTTGGGATTGATAGACCAAGCTAATGATTGTGATTGTTTGGATTGATAGGCCAAGCTAATGATTGTGATTGTTGGGATTGATAGACCAAGCTAATGATTGTGATTGTTTGGATTGATAGGCCAAGCTAATGATTGTGATTGTTTGGATTGATAGGCCAAGCTAATGATTGTGATTGTTGGGATTGATAGACCAAGCTAATGATTGTGATTGTTTGGATTGATAGGCCAAGCTAATGATTGTGATTGTTTGGATTGATAGACCAAGCTAATGATTGTGATTGTTTGGGATTGATAGACCAAGCTAATGATTGTGATTGTTTGGGATTGATAGACCAAGCTAATGATTGTGATTGTTTGGATTGATAGACCAAGCTAATGATTGTGATTGTTTGGGATTGATAGACCAAGCTAATGATTGTGATTGTTTGGGATTGATAGACCAAGCTAATGATTGTGATTGTTGGGATTGATAGACCAAGCTAATGATTGTGATTGTTGGGATTGATAGACCAAGCTAATGATTGTGATTGTTGGGATTGATAGACCAAGCTAATGATTGTGATTGTTGGGATTGATAGACCAAGCTAATGATTGTGATTGTTTGGGATTGATAGACCAAGCTAATGAGCTGTTTCTCCGGGCTGCGCAGTATTCACCAGTCAGGATGTTAATGCCCTCTCCTTTGGGAACTCTCTTCACCACCAGGTAAGCGGAACTAGGATCAGCCATTTTACACCACTGTAGTGCCTGCTCCAGCACTTTCTCTTTGGGGTGTAGGGGGCGCTCTGTGGAACAAAGACAACATTTGAACATTATATAACAACTATTCTGGGATAGCTTCTTTCTCACAGTCCAGGAAATTCCAGGAAATGAAACTATATATATATATATATTATTTTTTTTTTACAGTGGTAGTTTAGTTATTAGAGCTAAATGCTATTTTGAGCTGTTTTTACACTTTCTATAGTATTTCCCAGTCAGATATATTAATATCATACTCCTCACCCAGTCAGAGAGATAGTAATATCATGCTCCTCACCCATTCGGAGAGAGATACTAATATCATGCTCCTCACCCAGTCAGAGAGATAGTAATATCATGCTCCTCACCCAGCAGAGAGATAGTAAGATCATGCTCCTCACCCCAGTCAAGAGAGATAGTAAATTCATGCGCCTCACCCCAGTCAAGAGGATAGTAATATCATGCTCCTCACCCATTCGGAGAGAGATAGTAATATCATGCTCCTCACCCATTCGGAGAGAGATAGTAATATCATGCTCCTCACCCATTCGGAGAGAGATAGTAATAGCATGCTCCTCACCCATTCAGAGAGAGATAGTAACTATCATGCTCCCTCAACCATTCTAGGAGAGAACTAGTAATAGCATGCTCCTCACCCATTCGGAGAGAGATAGTAATATCATGCTCCTCACCCAGTTCGGAGAGAGATAGTAATATCATGCTCCTCACCCAGTCAGAGAGATAGTAATATCATGCTCCTCACCCAGTCAGAGAGAGATAGTAATATCATGCTCCTCACCCATTCGGAGAGAGATAGTAATATCATGCTCCTCACCCAGTCAGAGAGATAGTAATATCATACTCCTCACCCAGTCAGAGATGGTAGTAATATTCATGCTCCCTCACCAGTCAGAGAGATAGAAATAATGCTCCTCACAGTCAGAGAGATAGTATTATCATTGCTCTTCTACCCAGCAGAGATAGATAGGTTTAATTATCATGCTCCTCACCCATTCGGAGAGAGATGAGAGATAGTAATAGCATGGTCTTCACCATTCGGGAGAGATAGTAAGAGCATGATTCTCACCCATTCGGAGAGAGATAGTAATATCATGCTCCTCACCCATTCGGAGAGAGATAGTAATAGCATGCTCCTCACCCATTCAGAGAGAGATAGTAATATCATGCTCCTCACCCATTCGGAGCGAGAAGAAATATTAATAGATGCTCCCTCACCCATTCGGAGAGAGATAGTAAATCATGCTCCTCACCCATTCGAAGAGATAGTAAAGACTTATGTCCTCACCAGTCAGAGAGATAGATAATAAATGTCCTCAACCATCGAGAGAGATAGCTAGAAACTAAAGATGCTATCAGAACCACCCAGTAGAGAGAGAAGAGTAATATGATAGACTACTCACCAGCAGAGAGATAGGTAAATGAGCTTCTCAACCAGTTGTCCTTCCTCTATGGCCCTCGAAGTCAGCCACAAGTCTCCCTGCGGACGTTCTCATGTACAGGACATGGCTTAGTCCAAACTCTAGCACCCATAGCTGGAGACACCTACAGAGAACCAGGACCTAAGAGAATACTACGAGAACCAGACCTTAGAAGAGATATCATTACAGAGACCAGACTTAAAGAGATAACTACAGAAACCAGACCTTAATAAGATCCTACAGAAAGGCCAGACATAAAGAGATACTACAGAAAGCCCAGACCATAAGATGATACCTACAGAGAACCAGAAACATAAAGAAGTACCTACAGAGAACCAGACCATAAAGAGATACCTACAGAGAACCAGACCTTAAAGAGATACCTACAGAGAAACCAGACCATAAAGAGATACCTACAGAGAACCAGACCATAAAGAGATACCTACAGAGAACCAGACCATAAAGAGATACCTACAGAGAACCAGACCATAAAGAGATACCTACAGAGAACCAGACCATAAAGAGATACCTACAGAGAACCAGACCATAAAGAGATACCTACAGAGAACCAGACCATAAAGAGATACCTACAGAGAACCAGACCATAAAGAGATACCTACAGAGAACCAGACCATAAAGAGATACCTACAGAGAACCAGACCATAAAGAGATACCTACAGAAAGCCAGACCATAAAGAGATACCTACAGAGAACCAGACCATAAAGAGATACCTACAGAATGCCAGACCATAAAGAGATACCTACAGAAAGCCAGACCATAAAGAGCATTTTAGCTTCCTGGAAATGCTCATGTCCAGCATGTATAGTATAGGGGATGGTAGATGGTTATCATTGGAAATCCCAGGCCTAGGGAAACATTGGTACATTATGGGAGGCCACCTGTCTGTGTAAAGCAAGGGTCTCCAACCTTTAGCATGAGAGATACTTTAAAAAACTAAACGTTGCCAGCTACTCTGTTTTTTTTTTTTCAATCTTTCCAATAGGCCCATTCTTCTCTTCTCCTCTACCCTGCAACTCTTCCCCGGGTCCTTGGTGTACAAGAGATGCGTTCTCTGTCAATATAACTGGTCAAATAACAGTTAATAAACAACTAAGGGGGCCCCATAAAATCATATTTAGTATTTTCTTGAATTCAGTTCTCTGTTATTACCCCCCCAGTTTTTTCCCCTTCTGTTTTATACTCTCAATATTATTTAAATTATTCATATTATTATTCATAGAGAAACAATGGACATGTATGTTCTGAGTCCATGTCAACGATGAAATCACATCAGAATATTATTTTTTTTAGGTCTGGAAATATATATATATTTTTTAAATGTTTGAGTATATTTCCCTTTTAACTGTGCATCTAGCGAGAGAGGGATGTGTCTGTCTAGCCATGTTTCCGCTGTTAGGACTACCGCTGCAGACCACGTCATGGCGGAACAATCTCCACCCTATTGATACAAATAATCACCATATAGTTCCGGTCGGTAAACACCTACTTTGCATTTAATTGAGAAGGTTTTGGGGGACAAGGTTTCTGTTTACCCACACGACGGTTGTCATAAGCGTCGCTAACCGGCTACATACAGAGTGATAGACAAACGCGCGCACCAAACAGACAGGCGGGGCAATATTGCTGGAAATTAAATTGGCAAATATTGTGTTAAGTTTGGCTTTTTTAAGCCAGCAGTGTCTAACCAGGTGTGGGATAATGTTGATGTGGCTTTGATTGGATTCCCCAGGAGCTTTATGTTAATGACAGTTTGCATAATGTTGATGTGGCTTTGATTGGATTCCCCAGGAGCTTTATGTTAATGACAGTTTGCATAATGTTGATGTGGCTTTGATTGGATTCCCCAGGAGCTTTATGTTAATGACAGTTTGCATAATGTTGATGTGGCTTTGATTGGATTCCCCAGGAGCTTTATGTTAATGACAGTTTGCATAATGTTGATGTGGCTTTGATTGGATTCCCCAGGAGCTTTATGTTAATGACAGTTTGCATAATGTTGATGTGGCTTTGATTGGATTCCCCAGGAGCTTTATGTTAATGACAGTTTGCATAATGTTGATGTGGCTTTGATTGGATTCCCCAGGAGCTTTATGTTAAAAATGCATGTACATTAAGAATTGATTGGCGAGCTACTCATAGGTGATAGAGAGACTAGTGGAGGGGCTAAATCATAACAGCACCTTTCATTAAATAGAAATCAGAAGATAACCCGGCTCCACTTACTTTCAGAGTTATGCAGCAGTCCGGCATCTTCTTCTCCAGGTACACTTCAATGATCAGGTCACCTGCTTGAGACAGCTGCAAAGACAGGATACTTATTACAGACAACAGGTCTGTCCAACCAATGTGTTATAACCCTTTATAACCCATCATAAATCTTTATAAACGGTTTTTAAATCCTTCGTAAAGTGTACCTGTGTGTCCTTCCAGGTGGTGATGAGGCTGAGCTCCAGTTCTATCTGGGTCTGTTGCTCCTCATCAATCTGAACAAACACAATCAAACATTTACTAAATCATTCATTAGATTACAGAACAGATTGACCTGGGCCATGTTCAGTAGGGCACACTGTAGCAAAACAGTTTGCAGTGAAATGTGAACATTTGTGCTCTGATTGGACAAGTTCAGGTAGGTAGTACCTCCCCGTTTCAATCCATTAAAAATGCTTTCTACCTACGGAACACAACCCTGATTTCTAAGTGAAGCATTTGAGCTTAGACCATCGCTGGTTCGACCCTACTCACATCAAGACATACAGGTAGTTGTCTGTGACCCTACTCACATCAAGACATACAGGTAGTTGTCTGTGACCCTACTCACATCAAGACATACAGGTAGTTGTCTGTGAGACCATACTCACATCAAGACATACAGGTAGTTGTCTGTGAGACCATACTCACATCAAGACATACAGGTAGTTGTCTGTGACCCTACTCACATCAAGACATACAGGTAGTTGTCTGTGACCCTACTCACATCAAGACATACAGGTAGTTGTCTGTGACCCTACTCACATCAAGACATACAGGTAGTTGTCTGTGACCCTACTCACATCAAGACATACAGGTAGTTGTCTGTGACCCTACTCACATCAAAGACATACAGGTAGTTGTCTGTGACCCTACTCACATCAAGACATACAGGTAGTTGTCTGTGACCATACTCACATCAAAGACATACAGGTAGTTGTCTATGAGGTCTTCAATGATCTTCACCTCATGTTCTCCTTTCCCATCTGTCTGGAAGAGGCTGGGGGCGAACAGCAGAGACAGGTTCTTGGTACACATCTGGTTCAGGTCTGCACACTTCTGAACCCTGGGATCAGAGAGAGAGAGAGAGAGAGAGAGCACACTTCTGAACCCTGGGATCAAGAGAGAGAGAGAGAGAGAGAGAGACTTTGGACCGAGACCAAGAGAGACGAGAGAGAGACAGAGAGAACGAGAGACAGAGAGAACAGAGACGGGAGAGACGAGGAGGAGAGAAAAGGGAGGGAGGGAGAGAGAGAGAGAGATAGAAAAGAGTAAGAGGAGAAGAGAGAGAGGAGAGGATCGAACCCTGGCTGAGGTGGCTGAGGAGAGTCCTGTTAACCCTGGGCTATACTGACCTGTAGAGGGCTGATGAGAGTCCTGTTAACCCTGAGGCTTATACTGACCTGTAGAGGGTGATGAGAGTCCTGTTAACCTGGGGCTATACTGACTGTAGAGGGCTGATGAGAGTCCTGTTAACCTGGGGCTTTTACTGACCTGTAGAGGGCTGATGAGAGTCCTGTTAACCCTGAGGCTATACTGACCTGTAGAGGGGGCTGATGAGAGTCCTGTTAACCCTGGGGCTATATTTGACCTGTAGAGGGGGTGATGAGAGTCTGTTAACCCCTGGGGCTATACTGACCTGTAGAGGGGCTGATGAGAGTCCTGTTAACCCTGGGGCTATACTGACCTGTAGATGTGGCTGATGAGAGTCCTGTTAACCCTGGGGCTTATACTGACCTGTAGAGGGCTGATGAGAGTCCTGTTAACCCTGAGGCTTCTATACTGACCTGTAGATGTGGCTGATGAGAGTCCTGTTAACCCTGAGGCTATACTGACCCTGTAGAGGGCTGATGAGAGTCCTGTTAACCCTGGGGCCTATACTGACCTGTTAGAGGGCTGATGAGAGTCCTGTTAACCCTGAGGCTATACTGACCTGTAGAGGGCTGATGAGAGTCTGTTAACCTGGGGGCTATACTGACCTGTAGAGGGTGATGAGAGTCCTGTTAACCCTGGGCTATACTGACCTGTAGAGGGCTGATGAGAGTCCTGTTAACCCTGGGGGCTATACTGACCTGTAGAGGGCTGATGAGAGTCCTGTTAACCCTGAGGCTATACTGACCTGTAGATGTGGCTGATTGAGAGTCCTGTTAACCCTGGTTTTCCTCCCTGTGAGGCTGATAGATCCTTTAACCCTGGGCTAAGACCTGTAGAGGGCTGTTAGACCCTTTGTTAACCCTGGGCTATATGACCTATAAGAGGCTGTGAGAGTCTGTTAACCTGAGGCATACTGACCTGTAGAGGGCTGATGAGAGTCTGTTTAACCCTGGGGCTATACTACCTGTAGAGGGCTGATAAAGAGTCCTGTTAACCTGAGGCTTATATGACTTAGAGGGCTGATGAGATCCTGTTAAAACCTGGGGCTATATGGACCTGTAGGGGGTGTTTGAGAGTCTGTAACCTGAGGTTTACTGACCTGTAGATGTGGCTGATGGAGTCCTGTTAACCTGGGGCTATACTGAATTTGTAGAGGGGGCTGATGAGAGTCCTGTTAACCTGGGGCTATACTGACCTGTAGAGGGCTAAATGAGAGTCCTGTTAACCCTGGGGCTATACTGACCTGTAGAGGGGCTGATGAGATCCTGTTAACCCTGAGGCTATACTGACCTGTAGAGGGCTGATGAGGAGTCCTGTTAACCCTGAGGCTATACTGACCTGTAGAGGCTGGATGAGAGTCTGTTAACCCTGAGGCTATAATGACCTGTAGAGGGGGCTGATGAGAGTCCTGTTAACCCTGGGGCTATATGACCTGTAGAGGGCTGATGAGAGTCCTGTTAACCCTGGGGCTATACTGACCTGTAGAGGGGGCTGATGAGAGTCCTGTTAACCCTGAGGCTATACTGACCTGTAGAGGGGGCTGATGATGAGGTCCTGTTAACAACCCTGGAGCTATACTGACCTGTAGATGGCTGATGAGAGTTCCTGTTAACCTGAGGCTATACTGACTGTAGAGGGCTGATGAGAGTCCTGTTAACCCTGAGGCTATACTGACCTGTAGAGGGCTGATGAGAGTCCTGTTAACCCTGGGCTATACTGACCTGTAGATGTGGCTGATGAGAGTCCTGTTAACCCTGAGGCTTATACTGACCTGTAGATGTGGCTGATGAGAGTCCTGTTAACCCTGAGGCTATACTGACCTATAGATGTGGCTGATGAGAGTCCTGTTAACCCTGAGGCTATACTGACCTGTAGAGGTGGCTGATGAGAGTCCTGTTAACCCTGAGGCTATACTGACCTGTAGATGTGGCTGATGAGAGTCCTGTTAACCCTGGGGCTATACTGACCTGTAGAGGGCTGATGAGAGTCTGTTTAACCCTGGGGCTATACTGACCTGTAGAGGGCTGGATGAGAGTCCTGTTAACCCTGGGGCTATACTGACCTGTAGATGTGGCTGATGAGAGTCCTGTTAACCCTGAGGCATACTACTGACCTGTAGAGGGCTGATGAGAGTCCTGTTTAACCCTGGGGCTATACTGACCTGTAGAGGGCTGATGAGAGTCCTGTTAACCCGGGGGCGATACTGACCTGTAGAGGGCTGATGAGAGTCCTGTTAACCCTGATGGCTATAATGACCTGTAGATTGTGGCTGATGAGAGTCCTGTAACCCTGGTGCTATCTGGACCTGTAGAGGGGGCTGATGAGAGTCCTGTTAACCCTGAGGCTATACTGACCTGTAGAGGGCTGATGAGAGTCACTGTTAACCCTGAGGCTATACTGACCTGTAGAGGGCTGATGAGAGTCCTGTTAACCCTGGGGGCTAATAACTGACCTGTAGAGGGCTGATGAGAGTCCTGTTAACCCTGGGGTCTATACTGACGCTGTAGAGGGCTGATGAGAGTCCTGTTAACCCTGGGGGCTATACTGACCTGTAGAGGGCTGATGAGAGTCCTGTTAACCCTGAGGCTATACTGACCTGTAGATGTGGCTGATGAGAGTCCTGTTAAACCCTGGGACTATACTGACCTGTAGAGGGCTGATGAGAGTCCTGTTAACCCTGGGGCTATACTGACCTGTAGAGGGCTGATGAGGAGTCCTGTTAACCCTGGGGCTATACTGACCTATAGAGAGGGCTGATGAGAGTCCTGTTAACCCTGAGGCTATACGGACCTGTAGAGGGCTGATGAGAGTCCTGTTAACCCTGGGGCTATACTGACCTGTAGAGGGCTGATGAGAGTCCTGTTAACCCTGAGGCTTACTGACCTGTAGAGGGCTGATGAGAGTCCTGTTAACCCTGGGGCTATACTGACCTGTAGAGGGCTGATGAGAGTCCTGTTAAACCCTGAGGCTATACTGACCTGTAGATGTGGCTGATGAGAGTCCTGTTAACCCTGGGGCTATACTGACCTGTAGAGGGGGCTGATGAGAGTCCTGTTAACCTGGGGCTATACTGACCTGTAGAGGGGCTGATGAGAGTCCTGTTAACCCTGGGGCTATACTGACCTGTAGAGGGCTGATGAGAGTCTGTTAACCCTGAGGCTATACTGACCTGTAGAGGGCTGATGAGAGTCCTGTTAACCCTGAGGCTATACTGACCTGTAGAGGGCTGATGAGAGTCCTGTTAACCCTGAGGCTATACTGACCTGTAGAGGGGCTGATGAGAGTCCTGTTAACCCTGGGGCTATACTGACCTGTAGAGGGCTGATGAGAGTCCTGTTAACCCTGGGGCTATACTGACCTGTAGAGGGGGCTGTGATGAGAGTCCTGTTAACCCCTGAGGCTATACTGACCTGTAGAGGGGCTGATGAGAGTCTGTTAACCCGGGAGCTATATGACCTGTAGATGGCTGATGAGAGTCCTTTTAAACCCCTGAGGCTATACTGACCTGTAGAGGGCTGATGAGAGTCCTGTTAACCTGAGGTATACTGCCCTGTAGGGGGCTGATAAAGAGTCCTTTTAACCCTGGGGCTATACTGACCTGTAGATGTGGCTGATGAGAGTCCTGTTAACCCTGAGGCTATACTGACCTGTAGATGTGGTGATGAGAGTCCTGTTAACCCTGAGCCTATACTGACCTATAGATGTGGCTGATGAGAGTCCTGTTAACCCTGAGGCTATTACTGACGTAGAGGTGGCTGATGAGAGTCCTGTTAACCCGAGGTATACTGACTGAGATGTGGCTGATGAGAGTCCTGTTAACCTGGGGCTATACTGACCTGTAGAGGGCTGATGAGAGTCCTGTTAACCCTGGGGCTATACTGACCTGTAGAGGGCTGATGAGAGTCCCTGTTAACCCTGGGGCTATACTGACCTGTAGATGTGGCTGATGAGAGTCCTGTTAACCCTGAGGCTATACTGACCTGTAGAGGGCTGATGAGAGTCCTGTTAACCCTGGGGCTATACTGACCTGTAGAGGGCTGATGAGAGTCCTGTTAACCCTGGGGCTATACTGACCTTGTAGAGGGCTGATGAGAGTCCTGTTAACCCTGAGGCTATACTGACCTGTAGATGTGGCTGATGAGAGTCCTGTTAACCCTGGGGCTATACTGACCTGTAGAGGGGGCTGATGAGAGTCCTGTTAACCCTGGGGCTATACTGACCTGTAGAGGGCTGATGAGAGTCCTGTTAACCCTGGGGCTATACTGACCTGTAGAGGGCTGATGAGAGTCCTGTTAACCCTGAGGCTATACTGACCTGTAGAGGGCTGATGAGAGTCCTGTTAAACCCTGAGGCATATACCTAGAGGGCTGATGAGAGTACTGTAACCTGAGGTATACTGACTGTAGGGCTGATGAGAGTCCTGTAACCCAGGCTAACTGACCTGTAGAGGGTGAGAGGTCTGTTAACCCTGAGGCTTACTGACCTTAGAGGGCTGATGAGAGTCCTGTTAACTCGGGCTATACTGACCTGTAAGGTGATGGGGTCCTGTTAACCCTGGGGCTATACTGACGTAGAGGGGGCTGATGAGAGTCTGTTAACCTGAGGCTATACTGCCTGTAGAGGGGGCGGATAAGTAGCCCTGTAACCTGGAGCTATACTGACCGTAAGGCTGATGAGAGTCTGTTAACCTGAGGAAATTCCCTGTAGAGGGCTATGAGAGTCTTTTAACCTGGGGCTATTACTGACCTGTAGAGGGCTGATGGGGAGTCCTGTAACCTTTGGGGCTTACTGCCCTGTAGATGTGGCTGATGAGAGCTCCATGTTAACCCTGGGGCTATACTGCCCTGTAGAGGGCTGATGAGGTCCTGTTAACCGAGGCTATATGACCTATAGATGTGGCTGAGAGAGTTCCTGAACCCATGAGGCTATAGACGAGAGGTGAGAGAGTCCTGTACCCTGGGGCTATACTGCCCTTTGTAGAGGGCTGAATGAGAGTCTGTAACCTGGGGCTATACTGACTGTAGATGTGGCTGATGAGATCCTGTTAACCCTGAGGCTATACGACTGTAGAGGGCTGATGAGAGTCTGTTTAACCCTGGGCTATACTGACTTGAGGGCTGATGAGAGTCCTGTTAACCCTGAGGCTATACTGACCTGTAGAGGGCTGATGAGAGTCCTGTTAACCCTGGGGCTATACTGACCTGTAGAGGGCTGATGAGAGTCCTGTTAACCCTGGGGCTATACTGACCTGTAGAGGTGGCTGATGAGAGTCCTGTTAACCCTGAGGCTATACTGACCTGTAGATGTGGCTGATGAGAGTCCTGTTAACCCTGGGGCTATACTGACCTGTAGAGGGCTGATGAGAGTCCTGTTAACCCTGGGGCTATACTGACCTGTAGAGGGCTGATGAGAGTCCTGTTAACCCTGGGGCTATACTGACCTGTAGAGGGGGCTGATGAGAGTCCTGTTAACCCTGGGGCTATACTGACCTGTAGAGGGCTGATGAGAGTCCTGTTAACCCTGAGGCTATACTGACCTGTAGAGGGCTGATGAGAGTCCTGTTAACCCTGGGGCTATACTGACCTGTAGAGGGCTGATGAGAGTCCTGTTAACCCTGAGGCTATACTGACCTGTAGAGGGCTGATGAGAGTCCTGTTAACCCTGGGGCTATACTGACCTGTAGATGTGGCTGATGAGAGTCCTGTTAACCCTGAGGCTATACTGACCTGTAGAGGGCTGATGAGAGTCCTGTTAACCCTGAGGCTATACTGACCTGTAGAGGGCTGATGAGAGTCCTGTTAACCCTGGGGCTATACTGACCTGTAGAGGGCTGATGAGAGTCCTGTTAACCCTGGGGCTATACTGACCTGTAGAGGGCTGATGAGAGTCCTGTTAACCCTGGGGCTATACTGACCTGTAGAGGGCTGATGAGAGTCCTGTTAACCCTGGGGCTATACTGACCTGTAGAGGGCTGATGAGAGTCCTGTTAACCCTGGGGCTATACTGACCTGTAGAGGGCTGATGAGAGTCCTGTTAACCCTGAGGCTATACTGACCTGTAGAGGGCTGATGAGAGTCCTGTTAACCCTGAGGCTATACTGACCTGTAGAGGGCTGATGAGAGTCCTGTTAACCCTGGGGCTATACTGACCTGTAGAGGGCTGATGAGAGTCCTGTTAACCCTGGGGCTATACTGACCTGTAGAGGGCTGATGAGAGTCCTGTTAACCCTGAGGCTATACTGACCTGTAGAGGGCTGATGAGAGTCCTGTTAACCCTGGGGCTATACTGACCTGTAGAGGTGGCTGATGAGAGCAGCCAGAGTCGTCCTGTTGACTCTGGGTAAACTACGGATGATCTCCTTGTATCTGTCCAGACGCTGGCTCTTATCCTTGGCTGTTCCTATAAAAAGGGACAAACAGGAACCAGTTAGATTTCAAAAGGATACGTTGTGGTACATCCTGACGAGTACCAGTGAAACAGCTTGGTGGAAGCCCTATAATTCTGAGGGGACCAAGAGGACTAGGTCGAGTGATTAAGTCAGAGACACAAAATAGTAGCTTCATATTTGTGCTGTCTGTGATAATAACCTTTATTAATACAGGTTAGTCTCATTGAGATTCAATCTCTTTTGTTGCAAGAGACACCTGTACTTACTGACAGCCTCCTTCCATAGTGGATGCAGGTCAGCCATGAAGATGGGGTCGTCTATCTCCCTGAAGAACCTCTTCAACACGTCAGTCACGTCCTCTATGAAGTTATCCCCGATCCGGAGCTTGACGTTCCGAGCATCGTTCCTGAACTCCTCCATCAGTAGCTTGATCCTGGACGTGGCTCCGTTCTTCCTGTAGATCCCCTCATGACCCAGACCTGACGAGCAGATCACAGATCAGATCCTGTACATCAGTCATCAGCTAGTATTTCCTGTCTCTGGCTGGCGTAAAGTAAACTGGGAAAATAAACCCTACTGTGCACAGGCCACTGCAGCGTTATAATGAATTGATTAACTATTTATGAACCCCTTTATAGATATTGGTATTGTATACTTGAATATAGAGGATTACCTCCACTGAAAATGCATCAAATGCTATGGATCCTATCATGGATCCACAAGATCACTGGAAAATGTGCCATTTTGTCATTGCTAACGCAGAATCCTCTATCCTTTGCTATAATGGAATGGAATGGAATATCCAGACTCCTCCCTCACCATATTGAGTGATGAAGGCGATGCAGCTGTCTACAATGATGGGGATGTCATTCCTGCTGAGCTGCTGTTCTCTCAGGGTGTTGCCCTTCCCTCCAGCAGCTCTCTGGATGTCTGCGTACCACAGGGAGAAGTCTAACCGACCCATCCCCTGGAGGTGCAGCGTCCTGGGGGGGGGGGGGGAAGACATGTCGATACTCAAGAGGTGAAGGTTCAGAGAAAATCACTCTGAATCCAGCTCCAACAAAACTATTTTACATGGTAGAATTATTTTCATCCCCACGCATTCCCCACCAATTCCACCCCTAGCTGGGTATACTTTAGGCGCCAAACTAGCCATGATATGTTGACATACTGTGTAATTATATACAGTATGTACTGGATGAGAAAAGGAAGAGACTGAAAACCAACCTTCCTTTTTCAACCAAAACCAGAATTTCCTTCTTCTCATGGTTTTGGTTCTCAGTTACTATACCTAGGAGACAAGCACAGAAGAAATGGAAGATGGACCAAATCATTCATCATAACATGGTCAATGTTTCAGTGAAGAGTTACCAAACGGTATTTGAGCAACTACATTATCACACAGTGCCCAGTAAAGCTTTGGTCAGGACAGGAGACTCACTGAGCTCTTGCAGACGTTTAAGGTTGATAATGTCCTCAGCTGCTCCATCGTTCCCAGGGCAGATGAAGAGGTTAGACTTCTGAAGGACAAAATATCCCTCTTTCCACTGAGAAGGGTCTCGCATGGCCTTGTAGCGCAGCACTCCCACCCGCTCAAACGCCCTCGCTAGCAGGCAGTGGCAGCTTAAAGGTGTGGCGGCCTGAGGAAGGGAACACAGGAAGTGGTTAAAGTACAGGAGGGAACACTGAACAGACACGTACCAGGCTAGTACATAGAAGGTGTTAGTCAGAACGGAGGGAACACTTCACTGTAACCCCTCCCCTTAAGTACGCATAGGACATTACAACGTTCAGAGCTGAAAGAGCTCTTACTATAATCATTAAAGCTGAGAATTGGCATTATCAGTGTACAGGCCTTGCACTCTTCTGGGATAGAAGATAATATCATACCTTGCCGATGGCCTTGGACCAACATTGCAGTGCCTCAGGAGTTTCCAATCCAAACTGATAGAGCTTCTCCGAGGACAAGTACAGTTCAAACGTATAGAGAAACCTACAACGAGACACAGGAACATAAGAGAAGGGCACTAGATCAACGCTAGTTGGTAGATACCTGTACATTGAGTGGCAGTGATATAACCATTTCATGCTAAATGTATATTTTCCACGTGTTTGAAGTAGACAGTATTGATTGACAACCTTCATCAGCTACTATGCCATGATTGGTCCTCTAACCTGTCAATGAAGCCGTTGTTGTTGCAGGAGTCCGGCCTGCTGACCCCCAGACAGAGGATGTCTTTGACGTTGATCTTCATGCTAGGATCAGGACATCGGTCAGACTCATAGAACAGAAGAGACCTTTCCACCGTGCACCAGTACTTCTGGAAATCTGGGGGGCAAATAAGAACAAAAATCCGGGCTGTTACTTTCTAAATAGTCTCGCGTTGCCATACTTCGGAATCTCGTTCATCCGTCGGCTATTTGCGCGAACAAATGTGAAGAAGCCGGTTAATCGAGTTTCCTTTCTAAATAAAATAACATTAGGAATTTTTATGATGGGCTGTGTTTTTAAAAGGGAAAGAAACTACAAGTAACTATGAGTAACTTCTAAATCACAGCGCTCTGTTTTACCGTAGAGAGACTCCAGCCATAAACAGTGGGTAGTGTATTTCCTAACAGAGCAGTATTGGCCCAGTCAGTATTTGGTCCTATAAAAGTGCTTTGTTCTCTTCAGGGCCTTTATGCTGATGTTACTGAGGAGGCAGCATTCCTCTATTCAACCCGTGCCAAGTGGTGCGCTGTTAGCACCCGCCAACACACACACACACAATAGCCTACCTTCTCGGGTTTTCCTGGATAACGTCCCTTTTTTCATTGAGGCCGACTTGTAGAGGTAGCCGGAGTGCAGCACAGCCTGCATAATCTCATCATACACACCAGGGTCTACATCAGAAACAACATTAGGAAGACATTGAGATGTTTTGAGTCTAGCCATCACGTTGGGGGTCTAGGCAAACAGAGCAAAACATTAAGTCAAACTTTATAGTAACTTTAATGAATAAGCCATTATAAATGCATTTACAAGACGATACGTACTTTATAAATTATTAGAAATGTGATGAACGCTTATGAATTGAAATGCGGATGTTTATAAATGTTTCTGTTTTTCAATACGTTTTCCCTCCAGTGTTCTAGTTGTACTGTTTCAACAGAGATGGCGTGAACTCGGTTCATCTGTTAATCCAACAACACTAGAGGTCAACATACAGAGGAAGACCAAACTGTTTCATCACGAAGGCTCTGGCTCGGCTAGCACATGGTTCCAGGATACACAAAACAGCACAAAACACTAAAAACCTCCCGAAAAGGGGTAGCTCGGTAAACACTAAGACACTCCCATCACAGAGCAAAAAGCACCCTCGGTGAAATAGCTCTACGTTTTATATAATTTCACAGAACTCTTAAATGAAATTCAATCAAAAACACAGAAATATAAATGTATGTATAGATTTCACAGACAGGACAGACACATGCTTTGATGATAACCATCCAAACCATGAACCCTGCTGTAATTACTTGAAATCCATATCCATAGGGCTTCTGAGCACACTACTTTATACTGCATGGTCACGTAATAGTCACGTAATAGTCACGTAATAGTCACGTAATAGTCATGTAACAGTCACGTAATAGTCACGTAACAGTCACGTAACAGTCACGTAACAGTCACGTAACAGTCACGTAATAGTCACGTAACAGTCACGTAACAGTCACGTAACAGTCACGTAACAGTCACGTAACAGTCACGTAACAGTCACGTAACAGTCACGTAATAGTCATGTAATAGTCCTGTAATAGTCATGTAACAGTCATGTAATAGTCCTGTAATAGTCATGTAACAGTCATGTAATAGTCATGTAATAGTCATGTAACAGTCATGTAATAGTCCTGTAATAGTCATGTAATAGTCATGTAACAGTCATGTAATGGTCGCATGATAGTCGTGTAATAGTCACGTAACAGTCATGTAATAGTCATGTAATAGTCACGTAATAGTCACGTAATAGTCATGTAATAGTCACGTAATGCAGAAAAGGTCTAGCAGGCAAATAAAGCCTGTCCCCTGCCTTACCTGAGGTGCCCTCTGAATGGGAGTATTCCTGAGACAGATGCTTGTCGTATTCATTAGAGTCAGCGAGGCGGGCCCGGACAGCCTCTGCCTCGGTGAAGATCTGGGTGACCGTCTTCAGCAGGTTCTGCTTAGTCACAGCAGTACACAGAACCTGCAGGGCAGAGAGAGAGGGGGACACATTAGGCTGACGCACACACACAGAGAGGACACACACACACACTCGGCATGTACGCACCATTAAAATAATCCACAGCCACAGGGACAGACATTCAGCCCAAATTCCAAAAAGTCCCCTCTCCATTCAACTGCCCCCCTTTTATCTATTCTATCAATCAATCAATCACATTTTATTTATAAAGCCCTTTTTACATCAGCAGATGTCACAAAGTGATATACAGAAACCCAGCCTAAAACCCCAAACAGCAAGCAATGCAGATGTAGAAGCATGGTGGCTAGGAAAAACTCCCTAGAAAGGCAGAAACCTAGGAAGACCCCTGGAGAGGAACCAGGCTCTGAGGGGTGGCCAGTCCCCTTCTGGCTGTGCCGGGTGGAGATTATAACAGTACATTGCCATTAAGGCCAGATTTTTCTCCAAGATGTTCAAACGTTCATAGATGACCAGCAGGGTCAAATAATAGAGGTGTCACGACTTCCGCCGAGACTGCCCCCCCTCCCTCCTGGTTCAGGGGGCAGCCTCGGCGGAAGTCGGGCCGGAGCCCCGGGAGTGGGAGAAGGTATCCGTCCTCGTTTCCTGCCTTTGTGGGAGAGCCCTGGAGTGGGCCAACGCGGTGTGGAACGAGGGAGGCACCGCGTTGGAGAACTTCGGGGAGTTTGCTCACCTCTTTCGGGCCGTTTTTGATCACCCGCCTGAGGGTCGAGAGGCGGGCGAATGACTGGTTCATCTGGGGGACGAGGACCGCTCAGGACTACGCGCTGGAGTTCCGGATGCTGGCAGCGGGGTCCGGGTGGAACGAGCGGGCCCTGATAGACCATTTCCGGTGCCACCTAAGGGAGGACGTCCGACGGGAGCTAGCCTGCCGGGATGCCATGCTATCGTTCTCCCAACTGGTGGACATGACCATCCGGCTGGACAATCTGCTAGCAGCCAGAGGACGTCCTGCTAGGGGTCTGCCCGTTCCCATTCCGGACGACTCTGACCCCGAGCAGATGGAGCTGGGGGGAGCCGCCGGTCGAGAGAGCGCAGGAGGACAGCGACAGTGCCACTCTGGTGGCACGAAGGGACAATCCACCTCACGTCGCAGTCAACGTTCCTTTGGGTCTGGAGGCAGTAGGCAGGGTACCCACGCATCACCCCAGGTAACGAACACCCAAACTTGTTCAGAACCCTTTGCGGCACACTGTACTTTATCTATCTCCTTTCCCGATCACCTGGTAGTTTCCCAGTGTAAGGCGCTAGTCGATTCAGGCGCAGCTGGGAATTTTATGGACAGGGCATTTGCACACCGTCAAGGCAATTTCATTGGTTCCCCTAACCATTCCACTCCCCATCAGAGCACTAGATAGTCGACCATTAGGGTCCGGGTTGGTTAAGGAAGTTACTGTACCAGTCACCATGATTACGCAGGAGACACATGTTGAGCAGATCACCTTTATGATTATTGAGTCTCCTGCTTACCCTGTAGTCTTGAGTATCCCGTGGTTAGCCCTTCACAACCCCAATTTCTCATGGCCGCAGAGGGTTCTTACGGGGCGGTCGCGTGAGTGTCCGTGTAGGTGTCTAGGTGTTTCCGTTGGTGCGACCACGGTGGAAAGTCCAGACGGTACCCCCACCGTGCGCATTCCCCCCGAATACCATGATCTGGCGCTCACGTTTTCCAAGATGCAAGCGACTAAATTACCACCTCATCGGGAGGGGGATTGCACGATAAACCTTCGGGTAGACGCTGTACCTCCCAGGAGTCATGTGTATCCCCTGTCGCAGGCTGAAACGGAGGCTATGGAAATATACATCACCGAGTCCCTGCGCCAGGGGTATGTACGTCCCTCCACTTCCCCTGCCTCCTCGAGTTTCTTCTTTGTGAAGAAGAAAGATGGTGGTTTACGCCCGTGCATTGATTATCGACCACTGAATAATGTGACGGTACGATTTAGTTATCCTCTTCCCCTCATTCTTTCAGTGATTAAGTCAATGCATGGGGCCAGTTTTTTTCACCAAATTAGACCTCAGGAGTGCCTACAACCTGGTGCGTATTCGTGAAGGGGATGAGTGGAAAACAGCATTCAGCACAACCTCGGGGCATTATGAATACCTGGTGATGCCCTACGGTTTGATGAATGCTCCATCCGTTTTCCAGTCCTTTGTGAACGAGGTGTTTCGGGACATGCTTGGTCGTGGTGTGGTGGTCTACATCGATAACATCCTGGTTTATTCCGCTACGTGCGCCGAGCATGTGTCCCTGGTTCGCAAAGTACTGGTCCGACTGCTGGAAAATGATCTTTATGCCAAGGCAGAGACGTGTACGTTTTTCCAGCAGTCAATCTCCTTCCTCGGATATCGCATTACCACCACAGGTGTGGAGATGGAGGGAGACCGCATTGCAGCCGTGCGTAATTGGCCGACTCCAACCACGGTAACGGAGGTGCAGCGCTTCCTTGGCTTTGCCAACTACTATTGAAGGTTTATTCAGGGTTTTGGCAAGGTCGCAGCTCTCATTACCTCCTTGTTGAAGGGTGGGCCGTCCCGGCTCCGCTGGTCTGCTGAGGCTGATTTGGCATTCAGTAGATTGCGGGGTCTGTTCATCTCAGCCCCGGTACTGGCTCACCCCGATTCATCACTACCGTTCATAGTGGAGGTGGATGTGTCCGAGGTTGGGATAGGAGCTGTCTTATCCCAACGCTCGGACACGCCACCCAAGCTCCGCCCCTGTGCCTTCTTTTCTAAGAAGCTCAGCCCGGCGGAGCAGAACTACGACGTTGGTGATCGGGAGCTGTTGGCTGTTGTCCGAGCCTTGACGGTGTGTAGACATTGTCTCGAAGGGGCAAAACACCCTTTCCTCGTCTGGACAGACCACCGTAACCTGGAGTACATTCGGGCAGCGAGGAGGCTGAATCCTCACCAGGCCAGGTGGGCCCTCTTCTTCACCCGGTTTGATTTCACACTCTCATACATTCCAGGTACGAAGAACGTGAAGGCAGACGCACTGTCTCGGCTGTATGACACAGAGGAGAGGCCCAGAGACAACACCCCCATACTCCCGGCCTCATGCATTGTGGCGCCGGTAGTATGGGCGATGGACGCAGATATAGCACAGGCATTATGCACAGATCCATCTCCACCGCAGTGTCCAGCTGGGCTGCAGTACGTGCCTGCGCTTATCCGTGATCGTCTGATCTACTGGGAACACACGTCACCCTCCTCTGGTCATCCAGGTATCGGTCGTACAATGCGCTGCCTGACCGAGAAGTACTGGTGGCCTACCTTGGCTAAGGACGTGAGGGTGTATGTTTCCTCGTGCTCAGTGTGCGCCCAGAGTAAGGCACCTAGGCACCTCCCAGCGGGCAAGCTACAACCTTTACCAGTTCCACAACGACCATGGTCTCACCTGAGTATTGATTTTCTCACTGATCTTCCCCCCTCCCAAGGTAACACCACGATCCTGGTCGTTGTGGACCGCTTTCAAAGTCCTGCCGCCTCCTTCCTCTGCCCAGTCTCCCCACGGCCCTACAAACTGCGGAGGCTCTGTTTACACACGTCTTCTGGCACTACGGGGTACCAGAGGATATAGTGTCCGACTGAGGTCCGCAGTTCACGTCTAGAGTCTGGAAGGCGTTCATGGAACGTCTGGGGGTCTCGGTCAGCCTGACCTCTGGTTTTCACCCAGAGAGCAATGGGCAGGTGGAAAGGGTGAATCAAGATGTGGGTAGGTTCCTGCGGACCTACTGTCAGGACCGGCCGGGGGAGTGGTCGGTGTTCCTGCCATGAGCAGAATATGCTCAGAACTCTCTCCGCCACTCCTCCACTAACCTAACACCCTTCAATGTGTTTTGGGGTACCAACCTGTCCTGGTACCGTGGCACCAGAGCCAGACCGAGGCTCCCACGGTGGATGACTAGTTTCGGCGCGCGGAGGAGACTTGGGACACTGCCCACGTTCGCCTCCAGCGCGCCGTGCGTCGTCAGAAGGCCAACCCTGACCGGGACATCCTCGATCCCTCCCTGTTGAGGGATTTCCACCGTTGCCATCCGACTCGTTGGTTTATCCTCCTGGCCGTCCCCGAGGCCGGGGTCAACGCAATGCTGGAGCCGCGCATCAGGGGGTGGGGGGTACTGTCACGACTTCCGCCGAGGCTGCCCCCCCCCCTGGTTCGGGCAGGCTTCGGCGTTCGTCGTCACCGGAGTACTAGCTACTGCCGATCCCATTCTCATCACTCCACTTGTCATGTCTTGTCAATCACACACACCTGGTGCTCATTCCCCTAATTATACACATACTAAGTGTTCCCCTCTGTTCCCCTTGTCTTTGTGAGTGATTGTTTTGTTGTGAGAGCATGTAGCTTGGTTGAGCTACATTTCACTGTGTTATTTGCCAAGGTGGATGTTTTCCCTTGTACAGTTTCGATTGACGCTTGGGGTGTTTGATTTATGCAAACGGATTAAACTCTGGACTTCTGTATTTTACCTCCTGCGCCGGACTCCTTCTTTCACACGTCGTCACAGGAGGTTGCAACAGGTCAGTACATCAGGAGTAAATGTCACTTGGCTTTTCTCTAATTGTTTTAGTTTCAAAGCACATTCCATGTCCTTATTGTTGGGGTACATGTCTGGATGCATGCTAGCTACAGGCAGCTATGCCCTAAGTTAAACTCCAGCATAGCTTACAGATACTAGAAATACCACCAATACCATCTAGCCTAAATGTGTAACCTTAACAGAAAAAACACATGATTTCACATGTGGAAAATCACATGATTTCAAAAGTGAATTTTAATGTGAAATCATGTGTTTTTTTTCTGTAAGGGTACGCATTTAGACTAGATGTGTTTTTGGAACACTTCACATGTGATCAAATGAAATGAATGTGTTTTTTCCGTAAGGGTAGTGTCCAGCCATGTGTTTTTACTGAGAGGCTCAGCAGCCAGCCAAGGCCGTTAAGACAGATAGTCATTTAGTTTTTCCTTCATAACAAACTAGAAATGTTGTCCAGTCGTAGACTAATAATAATAATAATAATAATAATAATAATAAAGGGTTTATGATAATATAGCCTATACAACACCCCACATGTCCTTTGGATCCTCTTATAGCAGCTTTACATTTGAAAATCTATACAATTTGTGTTACTGTACCTTAAGGAGCTCCTCCTGTGTGTTGAAGTTGGGGTGGGGGTGTCGGTAGCGCCCCTCACGGTACTTGTGGATGATAAACTCCCTCCGCTGGTCTGGTGTGGCGTCACGGTCTAACTCGTCGGCTGGAGATAGCCTGGCCGCCCAGAACTCATTGGCTCGGTCGTTCCCCAGCATTATGAAGAGCTGACGAACACAAACACAGAATCATCAGAACTCATGAGGGCCTTTAGTATATTCACAGTTGATACACAACAAAACAAACTCATTTCAGTATCCTGGAAAATATTTTGCCACTTGAATAAAATAAACGTGAGCATTTCCCCCTGACTCTCTCCATCCCCCTTCCCTGAAGAACACTTCTCTTTCTTCTCACCTGCACGATCTCATTGCTCCACACGCTGGTGTCCAGTTTCAGGCTCTGCACTTTAGACACCATAGTCCCCAGACCTCTGTGTTGACCTGCAGGGGAAAAGGGACAAAGGACCACGACAATCACTCTCCTGGCACTAGACATTGGTATTGGTGTTTGCAACAGGATATTCAGGCGCTGTTTCGCTGAAACCACACTCTTTTAGGCAAGGGGCAACAGAGCAAGGGAGGGGTGAGCCCGCCCCACCTATACAATAGCAGGGGAAACACTGTCTCACCTGCACAGTTCTTACAGATGACAACACAGAGGTTTATGGAGGCCCAGTCAGGGTTGACGGCTTTGCAGTCAGCACAGATCTTATTAAACCTGTTGGACCAGATCTTCTCAGCCACCTCGTAGTCGGACAGGGTCTCTGCTATGGACTCCTGTACAGACTCCATCCAGTCCTTCTTCTCCCGCTCAGACTCAGCCGTGAAACTACAGGGACAATCAAATCAAAAACTAGTTTTTTTTTTTTCAGGGATTCAGAAAACAGCAGTGCAGGAAAGTTCATGATGAACTGACTTTATTTTTTGTGTTATTACCATGTCAGTAAAACACGCACCTGAATGTTTTGTAAGGGGTGATGAGGTCAAAGCTTTTTCCTTTGCCGTCTCTGATCGTAGCCCCTCTGGCCTCTATCAACGTGATTCCTATCCCATTCCGAAAACACTGTTCGCTCTTGTACACCCAGACCTGTTCTGTATTGATGGCGACGTAAACTTTTGACTTGGTCCCTTTGAGCTCCAGAGGACCACTCTTCTGACAGTGGCTGCCGGGACCGAAGCGAGGACGCCCAAACACAAGCTGTTCCTTCACCCTCCCCTGTAGGGTGCTGCACCACTGATGTCTCTGCACTGAGGGGGGGGGGGGGGGGGGGGGGGGGGCAGGTAGAAAGACGATGGTTGGTATTACCACTATTTTATGGTACAGAAAACACCAGGTATTTACTATGAAAGTTTCATGGTAAAATGGTAATTACACAATAACAATAGGTGAATTTATTGTTTGTGTCGTATGGATTCAAACCAAAGCACCCTTTTGTACCAGTCAGTTACCAATTGTACCAGAAACTATCTTTTGATACCAAATCATTCCCTAATAGGTCAACACCAGAGGAATCAGTAGCCTAAAATAAAGTCCTAAACAAGATGTTTCTACTATGAGTTTATGACAGTAACTGATACTATCTTGTCTCGCAGAGGCTATTTTTGTTAGATTGGGACATTTGAGTCTCCAGAGTGAAAATAAGGTTATTGGGTCAACCTTTGTCCAACATAGAGGTTGTCACATGGTTGGTTTCTGCCCTGAGGACTATAGCTTTGTCCCGATCCTCCATTCTTCTCCTCAAGTACGCACTTCCACACTTGGATTTAACAACACCTATCCAAAGCTTTAAAACTTCTCCCAAAGTGCACACTTTGGGATAAGTGTGGAGAAATGGGCCAACTAATGTCTGTAGTTGCTTGTGTGTGAGATTTTAATAGCTGTTATAAAAAAAAAAATTTTAATGGCACTTTTTACCCCTTTTTCTCCCCAATTGGTAGTTACAGTCTTGTCCCGTCGCTGCAACTCCCGTACGGACTCGGCAGAGGCGAAGGTCGAGAGCCATGCATCCTGCGAAACACGACCCCGCCAAGCCGCACTGCTTCTTGACACACTGCTTGCTTAACCCGGAAGCCGCACCAATGTCTTAACCCGGAAGCCAGCCGCACCAATGTCTTAACCCGGAAGCCAGCCGCACCAATGTCTTAACCCGGAAGCCAGCCGCACCAATGTCTTAACCCGGAAGCCAGCCGCACCAATGTCTTAACCCGGAAGCCAGCCGCACCAATGTCTTAACCCGGAAGCCGCACCAATGTGTCGGAGGAAACACCGTACAGCTGGTGACTGAAGACAGCGTGCATGCGCCCGGCCCGCCACAAGGAGTCGCTAGAGCGCATGGGACAAGGACATCCCGGCCGGCCAAACCCTCCCCTAACCCGGACGACGCTGGGCCAATTGTGCGCCGCCTCGTGGATCTCCCGGTCGCGGCCGGTTGTGATAGAGCCCGGGATCGAACCCGGGTCTGTAGTGACGCCTCTAGCACTGCGATGCAGTGCCTTAGACCACTGCGCCTTAATTTCTGTTTTTAAGTACTTTGTTTACCTTCGTTATCAGCCCGGAAGACAAAGGTCCTGTGACTTGTCACCATCTCAAATTTATTGTCTTTGGCCATGCGGGCCATCTGTATCGCAGCCAGAGGAATCACTCCTTTGGGATACGGGTCCTTGGAGAGAATATGTAAAGAGGGATATTGTAATGAACAATCCTGGTTCTCTCAATCAATATGTAATACAGTCCATCATTCAGGAAAAAAAGGGCCTACCTTTTCACTGCCGAAGTACATCAGATTTTTGCCGTCGAACTTCACATAGCGTTTCTGGAATACATAGTTCCTAGAATGCCAAATACAAAAATGATCAGATTCTCATACCACTGATTTAAATGGAGAAAAATATTATACAATTTCAAGAGCAAAGAAGAGCTCAGTTTCGACCGATATGAACTGTTTAGCATTTAACAAGAAACACCAAAACAGACTGGAGAAACACAGTGGGGAAAAGGAAGAAGAAGTGCGAGACACACCGGTTTGAGAGGACAGACACGTGGCAGAGACAGTGCCTTCAGAAAGTATTCATACCCCTTAACTTATTCCGCATTTTGTTGTTACAGCCTGAATTTCAAATGGAATAGTTTTTTTCTCACCCATCTACATACAATACTCCATAATGAAAAAGTGAAAAAATGTTTTTAGAAATACAGCTAATTTACATATGTATTCACACCCGAGTCAATACTTTGTAGAAGCACCTTTGGCAGCGATTACAGCTGTGAGTCTTTCTGGGTAAGTCTCTAAGAGCTTTGCACACCTGGATTGTACAATATTTTCACATTCTTTTTTTAAAAAATTCGTCAAGCTCTGTCAAGTTGGTTGTTGATCCTTGCTAGACAGACATTTTCAAGTCTTTGACATAGATTTTCAAGACGATTTAAGTCAAAACTGTAACTAGGCCACTCAGGAACATTCAATGTCGTCTTGGTAAGCAACTCCAGTGTCTCCCAGTGTCTGGTGGACAGCAGACTGAACCAGGTTTTCCCCTAGGATTTTGCCTGTGCTTAGCTCCATTACATTTATTTCTATCCCCCCCCCCCCCCAAAAAAAAAAAAAAACTCCCTAGCCCTTGTCGATGACAAGCATACCCATAACCTGATGCAGCCACCACCATGCTGGAAAATATTAAGAGTGGTACTCAGTGATGTGTTGGATTTGCCCCAAACATAACGCTTTATATTCAGGACATAAAGTTCATTGCTTTGCCACATTTTTACTTTAGTGCCTTATTTCAAACATATTTTTATTCTGTACAGACTTCCTTCTTTTCACTCTGCCATTTAGGTTAGTATTGTGAAGTAACAACAATGATGTTGATCCATCCTCAGTTTTCTCCTATCACAGCCATTAAACTCTGTAACTGTTTTAATGTCACCATTGGCCTCATGGTGAAATCCCTGAGCGGTTTCCTTCCTCTCCGGCAACTGAAGGACGCCTGTATCTTTGTAGTGACTGGGTGTATTGTATACACCATCCAAAGTGTAATTAATAACTTCACCATGCTCAAAGGTATATTCAATGTCTGCTTTTTTGTTTTGACCCATCTACCAATAGGTGCCCTTCTTTGCAAGGCATTGGAAAACCTCCCTGGTCTTTGTGGTTGAATCTGTGTTTCAAATTCACTGCTCGACTGAGGGACCTTACAGATAGTGTGGGGTACAGAGATTAGTTAGTTATTCAAAAATCATGTTAAACACTATTATGTTAAAGTCCATGCAACTTATTATGGGACTTGTTAAGCTCATTTTTACTCCTGAACTTATTTAGGCTTTCCATAACAAAGGGGTTGAATACTCAAGACATTTCAGCATTTCAACTAGTAAAAATTTCAGCAAACATAATTCCACTTTGACATTATGAGGTATTGTGTGTAGGCCAGTGACACAAAATCTCAATTTAAACTATTTTAAATTCAGGCTGTAACACAACAAAATGTGGAAAAAGTGGAGTGTGAATACTTTCTGAAGGCACTGTATATCAACTGTTTAGCATTTAGCAAGAAACACCAAAACAGACTGGAGAAACACAGTGGGGAAAAGGAAGAAGGAAGACGTTGGAGACACACCGGTTTGAGAGGACAGAGACAGTTCCTCAGAAGGGAGGAGAAGACAGAGGGAGGAAAGGAGGACCCGGAGCAGGACCAGGACCCGGAGCAGGACCAGGACCCGGAGCAGGACCAGGACCCGGCATACCCTTGTGGTGATAGCTTATCCAGCCAGCCACAGATGATGGGAGCAGTCGGCTCAGAGAGAGAGGTGTAGCTAGCGTAGGGGGATATCGTCTGGTCCTCATCCGGCTCCGAGGGGTACAGGTTGGGGGGTAAGGAGAGGCAGCGAGGGGGTGGTGCTGCCTCTCCTACGGTGCTGTAGCCCTGGGACTCACTGTGGAGGGCCTGGGACAGACGTTTGGCCCAGGCGAGTTGAGGTGTCCTGCAGTGCAAAGATAGCCTCTGTAACTGATTGATGCATTTGTAATAACCTTGACTCCAGCCTCTTTAGGTTTCTCTAGAGTGAGAATACGGCGTCTGGTAGAAGGTTCCAACATTGGATTGAAAAGATGGAGAGAAAATAATATTTTAAATACAGTAGACTATTTTCTCTCTGTGGCTGTAGTCAGAGTTGTGTAAGAAGATGTTATGTTTAATTGGAAAGCCAGTCTCATTATCCACTCCTCTAGACACAATAATTTACCCATGATCCTCTCCCTCCTTTCTTGTCATTCTGGTCTTTCCCTCACTTTCGGTCTTTTCCACCTTTGAGAACACAACATGGAGAACACGTTCATCAATGTCAGGAGAACCAATGTGACCACAAACACTAAACACAATATAACTCTGATGGGTTCTTGTAACCTGATAACAGACTCAGGCTCTGTCCCAAATGACACCCTACTCTCTATTTAGTGCCACTACTTTTGACTAGGGCCCATAGTGCCATTTCAGACACCATTTTATGTTTTTCCTGGAAGGTCTATGGGCTCTGGTCAAAAATAGTGCACTATATATGGAATAGGGTGTCAATTGGAACACACCCTCAGCCTTCCACTCTCACCTCAGAGTGGTGCAGTGGTCGTCTGCTCTGGAAGACTGTTTCACAATATGGACTGATCTCCTCCTCTGGGTCCTCCATGGGGACTGTGGTGGACGAAGAAATGACATAGCATATTATAAACCTCGTTATAAGATATTATAAAAGGTTCATACATGCTTATAACCAGTTATAAAGCATTTAAACTGGATGCTAAAGTGTAAGCGAAAAGTTAAGTTTTAGCAATGCAAAACTTTAATAACCTTGATTTAAACAGGTCAAGGGTCATTTATAGGCTTGAAGGATACATAGAGGTAAGGTCTAACTAAACCATCTGTAAGGTTACTTTCAGAAACGGATTGGTAGACTTACCTCCATGGGATGATTCAGAAGAGTTGTTACTTAAAGTGCTGCACACACATAAAACAAAAACATTAGTTACACAAAACAATACTCTCTTTTCGATGTCTAGGCCTATATTTCTCCTTTATAAAAGGTACAGTATATGATGTTAAAGTCAGACGTTGACCTACCTATTTCTGTCAGGAGTGGTATGGATCTCTTGACGTGGTGGTGTTTGAGGAATGTTGCAGGGAATCCGTCCACTACTAGCTCCAGTACCAGGTAAAGTGCCACAGTAGATCTCATTGGAGACCATCTCCATCGGGGATCCGGGGGGGGAAGTGGTCACAGAGGGGAATCCAGTGTTGTCATAGGGGGATAAGGATGGCGGAGGTGGGGTTGTCATACACTGGTCCTGGTTTTGTTCAGTCCTTCCACCAGATGATGGCGGAGTGGGTGTAGGACCCCTAAACATGGCTGGAGGGATACCTCGGTTCAGCCGCGGGGGAACAGGGGGCAGGGGACCTCCAGAGTCTGAGGAGTTACTCAGCCTCCTCTCTCTCAGGCTTAGGCTGTGTCTCAGGGCAGGGGTAGGGGTAGGACCCACCGCCACTGTGTCATTGTTATATTCTCCTGAAGGCAAACTTTCCAATATGGTGAAGCAGAGAGATTCCTGCGATGGTTTCCTGGTTAGGGTAAGAACCTGGGGATCTGTTGGTGGTGGTGGTGGTGGTGTGGGACAGGAGAGGGACCGGATGGGTTCTGTTTTGTGTCTGTAGAACACCGTTCTAGGTTTTGGAACCGGTTTTATGACAACATTCCCATTGTACTGCTGCTGCTGTTCTGACTCAGAGTTCATCATCATGGATGGAATGTTTGGAACGGAACTATTCCGGAACGCTTCAAACGGAATGGCCCCGGTTCCGCCCCCTTGGTCAGACTTCGGCCCTCCTGATTGGATGGGTGTGGAATTAATGTCAGACTCAGACTGACAACGGTCCAATAAGGGCTCCAAGGGTCTCGATATCGACTGATTCTGATTGGTGGCCCTCTGAATGTGCTGGACCAGCCTCAGTATTCTCTTCCTGTGCCCGGTGGCAGTTATGCCCAGCTGGATAAGACCTCCATTGTCTAGGTGGCTGAGGTCCCTGGCCATGAGGAAGCCTGACTGGCGGAAGGTCTTCAGGTATCGCTCCAGGTGGATCGCAGCCAACAGGGTCTCAACGTCCGTGTTTCCATCTATTGTTGCCATAACAACGTACATACATGGGCTTGGAGGGGGCCTTCAGCTGCTGTGGGCAAGACAACGGCCATCACGTACCTACACAGGGAGACACAAGAGACTCCTCTCCATCTGAAATGAAAAAACAAATATTAAGAATGAGATAATAATATAATTGGTTCATGTTGAGTTAGTGTTTCATCTGGTCAATTGGTCTGATAAAATAACTAAATTCACTACATTGCCTTACTATAATTCAAATCAAAGTTTATTCATCACGTGCACAGGATACAGCGTGTGTAAACGGTACAGTGAAATGCTCACAGAGTAACACTAAGTAACACTGTAAACATGTCCTAAACATGTAAACATTACAAAATACTAATTAATTATTTCAACTGAACTGCTATTGATACCATGTTAACTTCCAGCAGTGTGTGTATATGAGTGTAGGTGGCTATCTTGATCAATGTTGAGCTCATTAGTCAGCCTGGTCATTGTGACCACATGGTTTACAGAACCCAACCCAACCCACACTAAATGGCTGGCTGGGAGGGGCTCATAAAAACACCTTTCATGAAACAGAGCTGTTTCTACTGGACTGAAATGGCATCACCATGACCTTTCCACAGCAGGTCACCAGCCATCTTCCAGCCAGACCTTTAAAAATCACAGATGTGGAACCAAGACGGATGTCATTGAACACACAAAAGACACATGATTGTTCAGGCAGGGAAGGAAGCAGGGGGGTATGGCACCAGCAGACCAGTGAGAAGAGAGATGACTAGACAGCACACAGACGCATGAGAAAAATCAAATAAAAGGTAACAAAATGTGAAAAAAAAACTGCAATTATTTGATTGAATTCTGAATTTCATTGAAGGTGTGTCCCGTTTAGTTGACGACAAGACACCATTTCAAGTTTGTTCTTATTCAACATGAATTCCATAATAATGCAATAATAGGTTATGAATGTAATGGAGGAACAGCAGCAGAGAGAGAGATTGTGTCCAGGGATACAACAGCCTGCAGCTAGGGAGGGGTATGTCAGGGTTGGGGGAACGGCGCTTCGAAAGCCTCGGTAGAAACACTTCCTGAAAAAGCTTGGAATGCGTTAAGTTTTAAATGGCTACTTTTCCCTGGCTGGTGTATGTATGTATGTATGTATGTATGTATGTATAGTGGGGAAAAAAAGTATTTAGTCAGCCACCAATTGTGCAAGTTCTCCCACTTAAAAAGATGAGAGAGGCCTGTAATTTTCATCATAGGTACACGTCAACTATGACAGACAAAATGAGAAAAAAAATCCAGAAAATCACATTGTAGGATTTTTAATTAATTAATTTGCAAATTATGGTGGAAAATAAGTATTTGGTCAATAACAAAAGTTTCTCAATACTTTGTTATATACCCTTTGTTGGCAATGACACAGGTCAAACGTTTTCTGTAAGTCTTCACAAGGTTTTCACACACTGTTGCTGGTATTTTGGCCCATTCCTCCATGCAGATCTCCTCTAGAGCAGTGATGTTTTGGGGCTGTCGCTGGGCAACACAGACTTTCAACTCCCTCCAAAGATTTTCTATGGGGTTGAGATCTGGAGACTGGCTAGGCCACTCCAGGACCTTGAAATGCTTCTTACGAAGCCACTCCTTCGTTGACCGGGCAGTGTGTTTGGGATCCTTGTCATGCTGAAAGACCCAGCCACGTTTCATCTTCAATGCCCTTGCTGATGGAAGGAGGTTTTCACTCAAAATCTCACGATAGATGGCCCCATTCATTCTTTCCTTTACACGGATCAGTCGTCCTGGTCCCTTTGCAGAAAAACAGCCCCAAAGCATGATGTTTCCACCCCCATGCTTCACAGTAGGTATGGTGTTCTTTGGATGCAACTCAGCATTCTTTGTCCTCCAAAAAGGCGAGTTGAGTTTTTACCAAAAAGTTCTATTTTGGTTTCATCTGACCATATGACATTCTCCCAATCCTCTTCTGGATCATCCAAATGCACTCTAGCAAACATCAGACGGGCCTGGACATGTACTGGCTTAAGCAGGGGGACACGTCTGGCACTGCAGGATTTGAGTCCCTGGCGCGTAGTGTGTTACTGATGGTAGGCTTTGTTACTTTGGTCCCAGCTCTCTGCAGGTCATTCACTAGGTCCCCCCGTGTGGTTCTGGGATTTTTGCTCACCGTTCTTGTGATCTTTTGACCCCACGGGATGAGATCTTGCGTGGAGCCCCAGATCGAGGGAGATTATCAGTGGTCTTGTATGTCTTCCATTTCCTAATAATTGCTCCCACAGTTGATTTCTTCAAACCAAGCTGCTTACCTATTGCAGATTCAGTCTTCCCAGCCTGGTGCAGGTCTACAATTTTGTTTCTGGTGTCCTTTGACAGCTCTTTGGTCTTGGCCATAGTGGAGTTTGGAGTGTGACTGTTTGAGGTTGTGGACAGGTGTCTTTTATACTGATAACAAGTTCAAACAGGTGCCATTAATACAGGTAACGAGTGGAGGACAGAGGAGCCTCTTAAAGAAGAAGTTACAGGTCTGTGAGAGCCAGAAATCTTATTTTCCACCATAATTTGCAAATAAATTCATTAAAAATCCTACAATGTGATTTTCTGGATTTTTTTTCCTCAATTTGTCTGTCATAGTTGATGTGTACCTATGATGAAAATTACAGGCCTCTCTCATATTTTTAAGTGGGAGAACCTGCACAATTGGTGGCTGACTAAATACTTTTTTTCCCCACTGTATGTGTGTGTAAGTGTGTGTGTGTATGTGCGTTAGACCCGGGTTCAAATACTATTTGAAATCATTCAAATACCTTGAGTGTTTGCTCTAGCCTGCCTGGAGTGCCAGTTGGGTAGGGTTTGCAGTTATGGGACTATTCTATTGGTTTATTAAGCTCAACATGCTCAATCAAGCACAGATAAATTATTTCAAATGATTTAAAATAGTATTTGAACCCAGGTTTGGAGTGTGTGTCCCTATGGGTGACAGCTTGAGAACCCAGTCAGAACTAAAAGAGAATTTCAATGCTGACTGGGGCAGTTTGCCAGCCTCGATGAGGGGGAGGCACACAACACAACACATCACATACAGTTGAAGTCTGAAGTTTACATACACCTTAGCCAAATACATTTAAACTCAGTTTTTTTTTTTATTCCCTGTCTTAGGTCAGTTAGGATCACCACTTTATTTTAAGAATGTGAAATGTCAGAATAATAGTAGAGAGAATGATTTCTTTCAGCTTTTAATTCTTTCATCACATTCCCAGTGGGTCAGAAGTTTACATACACTCAATTAGTATTTGGTAGCATTGCCTTTAAATTGTTTAACTTGGGTTAAACGCGTCGGGTAGCCTTCCACAAGCTTCCCACAATAAGTTGGGTGAATTTTGGCCCATTCCTCCTGACAGAGCTGGTGTAACTGAGTCAGGTTTGTAGGCCTCCTTGCTTGCACACACTTTTTCAGTTCTGCCCACACATTTTCTATAGGCTTGAGGTCAGGGCTTTGTGATGGCCACTCCAATACCTTGACTTTGTTGTCCTTAAGCCATTTTGACACAACTTTGGAAGTATGCTTGGGGTCATTGTCCATTTGGAAGACCCATTTGCGACCAAGCTTTAAACATCCTGACTGATGTCTTGAGATGTTGCTTTAATATATCTACATAATTTTCCTTCCTCATGATGCCATCTATTTTGTGAAGTGCACCAGACCCTCCTGCAGCAAAGCACCTCCAAAGCATGATGCTGCCACCCCCGTGCTTCACAGTTGGGATGGTGTTCTTCGGCTTGCAAGCAACCACCTTTTTCCTCCAAACATAACAATGGTCATTATGGCCAAACAGTTCTATTTTTGTTTCATCAGACCAGAGGACATTTCTCCAAAAAGTATGATCTTTGCAGTTGCAAACCGTAGTCTGGCATTTTTATGGCAGTTTTGGAGCAGTGGCTTCTTCCTTGCTGAGTGGCCTTTCAGGTTATGTCGATATAGGACTCGTTTTACTGTGGATATAGATACTTTTGTACCCGTTTCCTCCAGCATCTTCACAAGGTCCTTTGCTGTTGTTCTGGGATTGATTTGCACTTTACGCACCAAAGTACGTTCATCTCTAAGAGACAGAACGCATCTCCTTCCTGAGCGGTATGACGGCTGCGTGGTCCCATGGTGTTTATACTTGCGTACTATTGTTTGTACAGATGAACGTGGTACCTTCAGGCGTTTGGAATGAACCAGACTTGTGGAGGACTACAATTTGTTTTCTGAGGTCTTGGCTGATTTCTTTTGATTTTTCCATGATGTCAAGCAAAGAGGCACTGAGTTTGAAGGTAGGCCTTGAAATACATCCACAGGTACACCTCCAATTGACTCAAATTATGTCAATTAGCCTATCAGAAGCTTCTAAAGCCATGACATAATTTTCTGGAATTTTCCAAGCTGTTTAAAGACACAGTCAACTTAGTGTACGTAAACTTCTGACCCACTGGAATTGTGATACAGTGAATTATAAGTGAAATAATCTCTCTGTAAACAATTGTTGGGAAAATTACTTCTGTCATGCACAAAGTAGATGTCCTAACCGACTAACCGAAACGAGTTTTAATGACTCCAACCTAAGTGTATGTTCTAATAGAGTTTAGGGTAGAACATAGTATTTTATGAGGCCTTGGACAGATTAAGACAGATTCTTATTAAATTAGTTGTGGGCACCAGATCAGAATGTAAAGTCTTACAACAGAGCCACAGATGGCTGTAGGAAGTCTTTGAACTAAAGTCTAGTTCTACTTTGACAAGTAGAGTACAGTCCGATGGCAGCTATCCTCGTATCCTTTACACGCTACTGAGCCAAGCCGTGCCAAGCCGAGCTGTACTGGGCTGGCCTTGTTATGCATCCAGTCAGGTTTGAGTCGGAACAATAGTGGGAAAAGGGTGGTCTCTAACCCTTGAACAGTAAGGAAGGAGAACTAGTCCTCAGCCTGTAGGAAGGCAGCAGGCAGCAGGGGAATGGGAGGCAAGCTGCTGA